TGTACTTCTCTGCACCTCCGGAAGTCCACTATCAACTCCTTTGTCTTTGCGACGTTGAGGGTGAGATGGTTGTCTTGACACCAGTGGGTCAGGGCGCTGACCTCCTCCCTGTAAGCCGTCTCATCATCGTTGGTGATCAGACCCACCACTGTAGTGTTGTCCGCAAACTTCACAACAGAAGAGGATGGATGGCTGAAATGGAATGGAAAGATAGATACCGGTAGATGTTGTGCACTGCCTTGGAAGTTTGGAGTGGAGCAGATGTTGTGATGGGCCAACTCACAGTTTTTTTTCCTCCAGAAGTCAACCACCATCTCTTTTGTCTTGCAGAAATTCTGAAATAAGTGTTTCTTTCGGACCATTCTACAAACTTCCTCACCAGCTCCCTGTACTCAAACTCCTTCCCACCCCTAATGCACCCAACCACTATTGTCATCAGAAGATTTCTGCAGGTGGCATATTCCACTGTTGTACTGGAAGTCTCACTTAGTGTCACGGCTGAGGAGGCGAGCCGTGTGGTGTGGAGGAAGGAGGACCCAAGATGCAAGCAGTGGATGAAGATGCTAGTGAAGTTTATTTACAAGGTGGTGTAGTGGCAAACGAGCAGTGGGGCATGACAAAATAACTGAAGACACCTAAAGTGGGAGAACTAAAATGACAGAAATGGGAGCATACGACAAAGGGATGAGAGGGATGAGAGGCAGAGAGAGGCAGACGAAGAGCAGGACACCGAGGAACACAGAGTAACGCAGACTGACACGGAGTAACATAGACAAACCGGCAACAGGCAGGAGAACACACAGGGCTTAAATACACACACCAGTAATCGGGGGATGAGAGACAGGAGGGCAACACAGCTGGGAGAAATCGGAGCTGACGGGACAGGGGAAATGTAAACTGAACACACTCACATGAGACGGAGACCTTCACAATAAAACGGGAAACTCACAGACACAGAACCAGACAAGACACAGAACTAAACAGGCAGATTCACAAGCAGACAGTGTGACACCATGGACAGACGGAGGGAACACAGAGAAGTGGGAGCAGGCAGGCAAAGAACAGAAACCTAACAAATGGCAATTCACAACAGAATACATACAACAAAAGCACAAGGAAACACAAAACACTGAGTTGGCAGGCTCAGGACCATGAGACTTAGCAGAAATTGCTGGGTGGTATAGGGTACTGAAATTTTTTTTTTTTTTTTTTAACGTTTCTCGCTATGCCACCAGTATCATCCAGGTGAGAGTGACAGCAGCACAGAGAATGAATAATTGTACACTTCCATTTACTTATTTATTTTTATTTATTTTTTAGTTAGGGCACCCTTGCATATGTGCACTTACAGGTATAAACACATTTATATTTAACCATGTTGTTTGTCATGGACAGTATGTTCATGTTCAGACTGGGTGTAGGACATTCCTCCCAATCACCCCACTGTTATTGACCAAGAAAAGTCCCCCAGTATGATAATGGAGCCCCGAAGTGGGGTGACTTTCACTAGCTTACCAAGAACTCCAAGAATACTGGGTCCCCGCAATAGCGACCCCGAGCCTGCTCACTATCACTCACATCCAGCTTTAAGGACACTAGTACATATAACATGATTCAATTCAGCAGGTAGAGTGAGTACAATTAGTGAGTACAGCATGTGTTGTACTCAAGTGTTCTTAGTGCAAGTGTTTTGTATGAGTTACAACCTTCTGTCCATTGACCTGATATGTTTAGGCATTTTTCTGTAAGTAGTCTCCCAGGATTATTGTTTCCTTTGCATATGTTTCTTTGTCATTTGTTACTGGAAGACTGACTGTGATTCTATTACCAGCAAATTACATATTATAGTATGTGAGCTAACACACTTGGTTAGACCTCGCTCTTGTACAGACTGGCGAGATTTTCTTTTCCACCCCTTGAAGAGTACCAAGTATGTAGAGTCTACACTTTGAGTTTACACTTTGGGTGGTTTGTTACTGGGGATTTATGCTTTAGCGGGAAAACTAACATCATAGCTACTACTAACTGCAAATCACTCAGAAACCCTACGGTGTAATCTGATTACCGGATAGCAATTGGCCTGTTCAGTACTGCTGATTTCTCCTGTGCTTTTTAAACTTTTTTTCACCAATGTTTTTTAATTTATTAGTGAGAGAATACGAATTTTCTCATCAATATAAAGAATACGACTCATAGTCTCAACTTAACCACATGGTCTTTCACTTTTATTAGCCCTGTGTTCCCTCTGTAATCAAACCATGTGATTATATTGTTATAAGTAGAATTTACTCAATCGGGTCACTACACAATGATTCAGTTTATTTGCCACAAAAAATAACATTTCTGGGTTTCTACCAGTTTAGTCAGTCCTTTACATTATATTTACATTTAGTTGGACATTCTTTGAAACACTAATCAAAGGCGGCCCATATCCACATAGAAGCTGGAAGAAGAGAAGTTGGAAGGCTTCCTGGCATATTCTCATAGCAGAAAATTATCTATTTAAACAGTCATTAAAATGTATTTCTGTAGTAATATAGTAGCTTTACTGAATCTCACTTTGAAAAAAAAACAACAACAAGCATATGTCATGCTGCAATGCATATTTCTCAGAAAGGCAACCCTTACATTTGGCTAAAGATAAATGTGATTAGTTATCACTATCACCTCACAGCATAAAGGTCCCTGCTTTGAATCTAATCTTTCACCTTCCCATGCTTTCCCTGTTTGTGCATGACTTGTCAACAGGCTTTATTTGATTTGATTTGATTTGATTTATGATAAACTCCTAAGCTTTCACGTTCATAAACTGACCATAGTTGTGAATAAGTATCTTTGATACATGATGTGTTTTCAAATCAACCACACACTGCCCCGTGAAGTGTGACATTTGTAATTTGGGTTCGATTTGGAAGTACTTAAACATACTTGAACATTTTTATTTTATT